GAGGTGTCATAGCTTCGCAAAAATGGGTTTGCTTCGTCCATCTCCCCAAATCTGGGTGATCCCCTTCATCGATTGAACGGGATCTCTGACCGTGACCCGCTCGGAAGAACCGCGCCGGACGGAACACAAGCTCCAAACCGCGGAAGCGGCCTTGCAGCAGGTCAGCTTGGAATGCCCAAGCAAAACGGTTAACCTTTAGATCAGTTTGATACATACCTGGACCCTCAAAGGGGTGCTTAATGGAGATACACTAGTAGTGTAGGGTAATCTATTCAAGACCCTTTGGAAGGTGCTCGTACTTATACTATCTTATATAATCTTATATACCCCTTCTGCCACAACAGGTCAACTGGTGCATCGTCTTTTATATAATTCCCCCAACCGCTGCCCGTTTATGTGGGCACGCTGACCGGCAAACTTTGGACACGGAAAAAAAAAATAGACGATGGATGGCCCGGGAGCGTGGAAGGACAGGTTATGTAGAAGCAACAGCTGTATGTGACTTTACTTGAGCAACATCCCAGCAAAAATTATCCTAGCAAGATCCCACCAAGTACTCACCAAAGCAAGATCTCAGCACCAAAGCAATGCTAGCGTAGCAGCTGCTTTGCACAACCATACCTGCAAGCTGCAGATGTACTTCTAGCATACTTATAGATATTGATGCAAATGTGTTATGCAAAAGATTTCTACAGAAGAACCCTTCGCAACGCTCCCGGGAATTACACCATCATGGACCCTAAATAGCAAAAGATGCGTGTGGGCAGTGGCATAGAACACCCAGATCACCATATCGCTATTTTCGATCGAAGAAGGGCAAGGCAAGGATCGGTGTATGTTTTATTTGCGGAAGTTTGCAACTCTTTGCTCTGCACAAGACATAGATGCTGTTTGCCGACGGCACGAACAAATCCTCTCCACTGCGGAGACATTCAAATGCCCGTGTTTCTTTATCTAGCAAAGAACAAATCACTGAACTGAATGGGGTGAAATCAGAAAGCAATCACCACAGTGGGACCTCCCTCATGTCTCTTCCTTTTCCGGTAGTCTCTGTAACCCAAAATCCCATGTTCTGTTCCCATCACTGCAAGGGTGCTTAGCATATATGATATGATATATATATAAGATCAGTATAGCACAATGACCTCTCACTCCTCTCCATGCAGCTTCGTCCCAACTGCTGTATTCTACTCTATTCTAACAACGATTGTGCCAAAGATGCAATGAGACTTGGATAATATACTGTGCCAAATA